TCCGTCTCCGCTGCGGCCGGCCAGGGACCTAGTGCCCGTACACCAGCGTGAACGGGCACACTGTGCCTGCGCCAAGCCGTGTGTCGTGGCGGCTCCTGACAGGGCCCTGCTCATTATAACAAATTTATGGCTACAGCTGGAACCATGAGCTTAGTATAATTTTATTCACAGCGATTGGCCATTCAGTAAAAGTGATCTGGACATTTCTACAGCCACCCAATCACTTTTACTGTAGTGAAAAGGCCCCCCTTAGGACCGTTTTAAAAGGCTGGGATAGCAAGCTTCAGAGAAGATCCAGAAACATCCTCAATCTCTGCTGTGACTAATGAAACCAGAAGTGACCACGATTTCAACACTTCGGGTTTCAGAGCTTTCACACCCAGTCAGGGAAGCAACTAATCAAGCACATGTGCTTGATTAGCAGCATTGGAGGGCGGGGAAGGGAAGACATTGAACCTGGGTTCCCACTGACGCAGTGTTGAATTTGCACAGTTTCTGTGAGAATTGCGCACTGCATCATAATACCCTATCTCCCCCCCCCCTCCCCCTGTTCATGCAAACAGTTGCAGGTGTGTTTTTGTTAAAAGTTAACAACACCCCAAAATAATTTAGCAAAAGCGGCACAATAAAATCCGATTCTAGTGCGGATGAAAAAAAAGTGCCCTGCACTATTTTGGTGCGGATGCGGTGTGATCTGAACCATACAAAATGTACGGCTCAAATTGCACCGCACAGAATTCGCATGTGATTTGCACAGGAATGCGATGCAGTTCCTGTGCAAATCACATGTGATGTGCTGCACCGCATAAGTGTGAACGTAGGCTGACGGTCTAATAGACCCCTGATGTCTTCACGAGTAACTTTCCTTTGCCCAAAGTTGTCAGTTTGGGGGCTTTTTAGCCCCCTCATGATAGTAATAAAGTTGAATGGAATATAAAACAATTGTAAAAAGAAAAAAAGTTGTAAAATAAACCTAATTTAAAAAAATGTAAAAGCACCCTCCACTGCATACATGCAAATGTAGCTCCCACCAGTGTATGTAAACAGCTATTACAATACACGTGAGATTTTGCAATCATTCTAGAGCCATCTTTCACAATTATCACTACACTGATAACTTGTAAAGGCTTTTAAAATTCATGAAAAAAGTAGTTTGTCACCATATCTCGGTCGCACGCAACTTTGAGTCTTGACATGTTTGGCATCTATTTACTTGTGGCAAAACCATCTTTTATATTTTACTAAATTGGTATTATATTGTGTCTGTGTGCACTGAAATTCATTTTATTGTATTTTTCATGAAACTTTGCATTTGATAAACAACTGTGCAAATATTGTGTGACATTCCAACAGCTACCATTTTATTCTCCAGGACCTTTGCTTTCAGAAGATATACAGGGGTTAGACAAAAAATATAGAAAAACTATATGATTTGCAGGTGTGAAAGTGACGTTTTGCTTTGAAAGCAGAGGTGATATAACACTTTTGTTTTTTGTTCCGCTGTGTGATGAGACACCTAGCTAACAAGTGAGAAGCCTCACTTTCGTCATTCACTGTGTGTGCTGCTAGTAATACGGAGTCGTTTCAGAACTTACTGAGCTTCAAAGAGGGCAAAATGTTGGTGTCTGCTTAGCTGCAGCTTCTGTGACTGAAGTTGCCAATTTATTTGCCGTGCCGTGAGGTACAGTATCAATGGTTATGACGGCATATACTGTTTCTGGGAAAACGTTGTCTAATAACCATAAGCACAGGTCGACAGGGTCAACTGACCAAAACAGACAAAAGGACATTGCACAGGATTGTGCCCAGAATAAGAAAACAACTGCTGCAAAAGTGACTGCCGAACTCAATCTCAGTCCCGGTAAGACTGAAGCAAAAGATTGTTACATCACTTCTGCTATCAATCGTGAAACATGTTGTCGCTTTCACACCTGCAAATCAGGTGTTTCCATTTTTTAACCCCTGTAAAATGCTTGAGGGTTCTAAGTAATTTTCTGGCAAAAAATATGCCGATTTTAAAATGTGTCAAAAATTGCCCTGGACACCATGTGGACAATTAAGTAGTAAAAAAAAAATGCTCTGAAGTGCAGTGACTCGTGACAACCAATCAGAATACACCTTGAACAGATGAAATTCATTTCTAGGTTTAGATGTAACAATCTATGATTGGTTGCCATGCATTGCAACATGTTTTCCTTTTCCCTTATAAAACCAGCTTAACCCCTTCCCGCCCAGCCCTGGCATCTCTTTAAATGGGTCTTTATTTCCAGGGTGCAGGATGGACTGCCTGATCATGAGACCATATGTCACATGATCCGAATCCCATTCCGTTGGCTCCCTATCACTACTAGAGACCAGGAGCAGTCTGCGGCAGCTCAGTCACTATGCTCGGAGTGTACAGCAAGTGCAATCTGAGCACAGAGACCACGGCTGACCATGGATGCATATCTGCGATATTTAGGTATTAAACCCTACCCTCTTTGCCACCACACATGTGCCTTACGTGAGCAGTAAACAGCATTGCAAGGTGAATTCTGCATAACGTTTTATGTCCATGGTTTTACCTTGATTGCTGCCATACATTTGTAAAATGTTGGAGTGGAGGCTGTGATGGTACCACCAAAAGAACGCTCTGTCTCAAAAAAAGTTTAACAATTCAGAATAGTTTTTTTGGTATATTACTGCATGAATGAGTCATTTGGCACTGAAAATTGGCCTGGTAATGAAGGGCTATGCACAGCCTTGTACTCAGTTGACTAAGACATTCACTTTTACCTTCTCTCCTATAGATGTCAATGAAATATTAATGTGTGGAGCTCTACTGCCATCTGCTGGTAAATGTATATAAGTGTCATCATTGTAAAGATCAATTTAGGAAATAACCACTAGCAACCAATCATACACCAAGCATCATTTTACTGTAAATTCAAACTGAGCAATGATTGGTTGTTACCAAAACAAGATAACTGTATGGATAATGTGTTACATCTCTTATAGCAAATCTAAGCCTTCAGTCCAGCATTAGCTGTATGCTAATGATAGGACAGTTTAAAAAGAGCAGCATTGCTCCTCTGTCTGCCTCCAGCAGTTTAGCCCAATAATAAGCATTACCAAAAAAAAGGTGCTGATCATGATGTTATCCCCTTCACAGCAGAAAAAATTATCACTATAAAAGTGTTACTAAACCTACAACAGTAAAATCAGCCTGTATATGCAGTAAAGCATGTTTGTTCTACTCCCTGTGGAACCCAAGGGGTTAATCCTCTGCATTGTGTAAAAAGGCTGTTTGATCCTGACTTCTCTGATCCCCCTCTTCCAGTGCCCCCCTCTTATCTCCTGATAAGACATATCGTTTGGAGTGACTGTGCACATGCTCAGTTTGGTGTGTATTGCTAGAGAAGTTTTGTTGTTTTTTTTTCTTGGGAGGGTGCATGTGATTAGCACAGGGCCAATCAGCACTGTCCAGACAGAGGTCAGGGGTCCTGCATCTTCCTGAAGCAAAATTAAAAACTCCTCCTACAAGCTTTAACATGTGCTCGGCTGGACACTGATAGAAGTCGTAAGGCTGCTATATACTGCTGATGAGAAAAGGAATTTAGCAGTTTATAATTACTAATATAATTACATTTCCATGTTGTGTGTACTGTGGGAGACCAGATATAGTGAACGCAGGGTCTGGGGTTTAGTAACACTTTAAGTTAACTATTTCGTTCCATCATATTCATTGTTAGAATGATTCGTTTTCAGAATTTGCTTCATATATTCGGATTTGTTTAGTATATATCAGGAAGATTAGCTATATTCTTTAACCATTTTAATTCTTTATTTCAGGAGATCATTTATGCACTCTGAGTCATACCTGCCAGTCCAACCCACAAAGAGAAATGGAATGGGCTGATTGGATGATATGGACTGGAGTTGTGTGCATCTGAAAGAACGAATGGAATAAAATTCATTTTGGATTCATTCATTATGTTATAATCTACCTCCATCCAACCCAAACGCAATAAGTAGGAATCATCATCTTATTTCACTTTTTTACCTTACTGTATTTATTGCACTATGTTTCCATTTCATATCTACTGCATTTTTTATAATAATGAAAAATGTTAATGCAAAGTAAAAACAAAATGGATCCAAATAAATTCGGATCATTCTTTAAGTTGTTACATTATTTTGGATGCTTCAAACATTTAAAAAAAAGGTCCAAACTATCACATCATGGCATCTGAATGAATACAAACAAATTCGTTGCTTTGTTAAAATTTTTTTCAGATTTGTTGACATTCGTTACTATTGTGATTTGGAGATTCATATATATATATCCGAATCTCTGAATAATGAAAATTTCATCCAATTTTTGATACACAATGAAACAAATCACACGTCTATTGTTAGGTAAAATTGCATTGGAACACAGCAGCTAATGTAACCATACTGACAGCTGTAGTTACGCAAGGTAGATTGCGCTAAAGGGCCTTTCACACTGATGCGATTTCTCGCGCTTTTACCTTGCAAGAAAGATGTTTCCCTTGTGGGTGCAGTACATTTTTAAAAGTCCTGCATTGTTACATCTTTGGTGCGGTTTTCAAAACTGCAGCAAAAACAAAGCTCCTCATTGAAATAAATGGAAATGTGACAAAAACGCATCAATAAAGTACATTTTGCATTTTTGGTGTGTTTTTTTGAGTCACATGTCCATTTTTCACAGGTGTAGGCAACCAGAAAACGCATCAGAAATGCATCTAAAACATGGCAAAAACGCATATGCATTTTTACTGTGATTTTGCTACAGAGCAGTATGAAAGCAGCCTAAGTTCATCTTTCTCACATGCCAGCAGGACTTAGTTCAGTCTGTCTTGCACAACTCCAGCTGTCGGCACAGTCACGATCGCTGCTACAATCTTGCTCGGTGCTGGCTGTACCCAACAATAGCCCTGGCATTTCACCACCTGCGGTCAGCATAGAGATTTTTCTTCAATCACCTCAGGGAGCTGGCAACCAGGAATGGTCAAGTTCAGGGGCGGACTGACCATTTGGAAACTCAGGCACTGCCCGAGGGCCCGGGGTCAGTAGGGGGCCCCCTGGTACCTTTTTCATAGGCTTTTTTGAGCTTGGGAAAGGACGCAGGGGCCCCATGATCCCCTATTGCCCAAGGGCCCCATGAGTTGTCAGTCCGTCCCTGGTCAAGTCCCACACTAAGTGCTCATGTTGGTGTTGTTTCCCTGCATTTACTGTATGTTTGGAACACATGTCAAATGCAGAGGTCAGCAAAAATGTATTGAATTGACTTTAGACATATGCATGGCAGATCAGAGGCTGCATTTTACCTGCTCTGCGTTGTGCTGCTTTTTTTTGGATGCAACATGTCCTAGTGATGTGCAAAGTAGGACAAACACAGCATTTTTTTTTTTTCAAATGCAGTGCTTGCCATTCAAACATTCACATTTTTGTTTGAATAGCAATTTTAGCATTTGTCTACCTAACTGTCCTAAGTGGAATCTGTGTTTTTCTCAGAAGCCTATCATAAAATTATTGCAACTTAAATATTTTTAAAGGTCTCATTCAGACGAATGTTTGGAGTTGTAAGTAGGGTTTTTCATAAAATTCCTGCTGTTTTCCCATAGCTGGGGAGCATCAGGCGGCGCCTACACCCGCCCATAAAGATGAACGGATTATGCAATTGTACCTCTTTTCTGCATCAGCTAACCATGTGTATGGTTTTATCTCCAAACATGGAAGGTTCACATCCAGGTAATATGTCACATGTGGATAAATGCTGATACAAAAAGCATCAGCGTTCACACAAGTACAAGCATATACAGCTGTTCCCCTCCCTATGGGCGGCTGTACTGTCCACTCACAGTTCTCCAGCCACAGGAAAACACCGGGATTTTTACACCAGACCCTGTCTGCTCCTTCAAATGACCATGTGAATGAGGCCTAAATTAAGACTTGGTTGTTAGTCATCTAAATTACATAAAAAGCACAGAGAAATGATTTCACAGTGCTGAAAATTCTTGACATGGGTGGGTGCAAATTTCTCAGGATATTCTGTCAGCATTTGTGAGCTTTTTCAAAATGACACCAAAAAACAGGGTGATGTCTTGGGAAAGCATAGAAATGTAAGGGCAGATCTAAAAGCTTGGAGGAAATGTGAAATATCTAAAGCAGTGGTCTCTAAACTGTGGCCCCTTGCTCGCTTTTATCTGGCCCTTGGGGCACTATTTCATCTACTAATACCAACAATGGGGCATAATTCCCCCCACTGACACCAACGATGGGCACAATTTCTCCCAATGACACCAACAATGGGGCCCACTGAAACCTACGATGGGGCATAATTCCCCCCTACTGACACAAATGATGGGATGCTATTCCTCCATATGACACCAATTATGGGGCACAATTCCTCCCAATGATGCGTCACAATCTCTCCCAATTACAACAATGGGGCCCAATTCCTTTCACTGACAGCAACAATGTGGCACAATTCCTCTCACTGACACCAAAGATGGGGCATGGTTTTTGCTCCACTGACATCGGGACCTTTTCTACTCTCAAATATCACAGTCCGGCTCCCCTAAAGTCTGAAGGACAGTAAACTGGCCCTTGTCTAGAAAGTTTGGAGACCCTTGACCTAGAGCAACAGAATTCTAAATGAAAGAACAGCATTGCCATCTAGTGAACGTTTCTAGTAATTAAATATAAGATTTGCAGAAGTTCTATTATCATTTGTCATCAGGGAAAACTTTTTTCTAGTTTTGGAGTAGTGAGGGAATAGACTCTTCCCTATTTGTCCTGTTTAGCCCTGAAAGTAAATGAAAATCCCAAATTTTGGGTTGTTCCCAGAGCAGGAAGAGAGGGGAAATCTTTCAATGGGGACAGTTCTGGTGGCCAGGGGGTCCCCAAAGAATTCCCTTAATTTTCAGGGATTTCCTCTCACTTCCTATATTGGCTATGGGACAGAAAGTGAAGAGAAATCTCCCAAATGTGACACGGATGGAAAAAAAAAAACTGAGAGGCGTTAGGACCCTCCCTTACTCTGTCCGAAATGAAAAAAAAAAATGTTTTCCCCATAGTCCTACTTTAGGCCTGGTTTACACTAGTGCGATTTCAGATGCGACTTGACCTGCACAGAATCACATGACAAGGGAAATCACATTATTTTCAATGCTACCCGTTCACATCAATGCGAGCATGGAGCAATTTTGAAAAAGGCTCCTGTGCTACTTTGGTGGGATTTAGCGTAATTTGGCAGCATAGAATATGTAAATCATATCCGAAATGCAACCACAGTCGCATTACATAATCGCACTGCAAATTACATCAAAGTAGCGTGAATCAAGCCTTAAAGTGTGGAATTCAATTAACTTATTCATGGGTGGGAAAGTACATTTACAAAATCATAAGGAAAAAAAAAGAAAATGAAACATCAATTACCAGAGTCTTCTATTTATGCAGGTTAATAATATAATATAGAGTATAACTACATTGTTGTGTCCCTCCTATGCTGTGATTTTCTGCTACTGATATGTATTACTTTCCTTTATTTATGTTCTTATCTATGCTGACATCTAGTGATAGAATTTTGCCATAGCAACCTGGTTTTTTTTTTAGCATTGGTTAAGTTCCTACTGTTTTCCCCTACTGCTTTTTGCTCGGTGATACAGTTTTAGTTAGTCCCTTCCTATCTTTTCCCCATGTTTCTTGTCTTCATAGCACACAGTAGGCTGTGAAAGTCATTTGCACTTCAAGAGACTGAGGAAGCATCCTCTATACTGTACTCTGAGAAGTAAAAATGTGTTGGATTCAAATTCTGTGCATAATTGGAGAGCTTAACTATCTGTGACTTATGCTGAATCAGCAAGTGACCACACCATCCAGAAAGATCGAGATCTATGGTGGCACGCCCATGTATAAAGTGGCATTTGGAACAGAACAATAAAATAACAAAGCTCCTTACAGTCTGCTAGCTGTAAAGATTTCTGCTGCCTCAGGAAAAACATGATGCGTCTACAAAGTTCCAAGTGAGCACATGGCTGCTGGTTTGGTCTTAGAGATGTCTGGTGTCTGCTTGCACAACTCTGCCTTCTGCAACTAAGGATCCCTCACTTCAGCAACATACTCTGATTTCAGTTCCTTCTTTACAGGCAATGCTTGAGATGCAGTCTTTCTTGGTAGTTCAACCTGATTCATCCTCTGACTCATCCTCTTAAGAGGCGTAATCTCTCACCGGGGCATTGGAGTTTTTGATTTTTCTCCTCCAATAGAGCTTCTTCCACTCTCACAGTCCTGATTAATTCAGGGTACTTAAAGATTTCAACATCTTCTCTAGTCTTTAGCTGAAGCATGATAGGGTCTAAGGGCTGAGCTCCCATTAAAACCTGTCTTGCTTGAACTTCATCTACTATACTGTGGTTTACACTTTTCTTCAGCAGCAGCTGATGCACTGTCTTGTCAAGGCACCTCATGTATTCAGACAGCTTCTCTCCCCCATTAAGGTTGAAGGCCACTGTTCTCCCGAACACATCTTGAAGGATAGTTAGGCAATATATGGGCAGTACAGTCTAGTCTGCTGAGCTTCAGTTTCCAAATGGCTTCTAATGCCGACCCCCTTTTGGTGTCAGTGATTTTCTGTTTCATTTGAGGCTTAGGAAAGTCTCATTCATCCAAGGATTGCATGGCTTGCTCCAGCCATTCCTCAAAATCCTTTTTACCGATAGGCACTGGCTGATTGCCTGAAAAGACCATCAGCTTTTGTTGTCCAGATCCAGTGTACATCGGACTACTATTCTGGCACTTCACCACAAACTCTCCCAGAGCGGCAATGAATTCATGCCCCATCATGGCCACGGATGCTGTCATCGTAGTTTCTTCTGTTAGAGTTGCCTGACTTGAGGTTTTTGGGTTGACGTCTGGCACTTTCAGCTGAACCATTTGGGCTTCAGCATTGATAGTCAGCTGCAGAAATCAGACTGAAAAGCAGAAAAGGATTCCTTTTCCCCATTCTAGTAGGACATGGGTGCGAGAGTTGGCTTGATATGCTCTCATGTCCAGAATGTATACTTTTTAGTCATGAGCTAGTGCAGTTACTGCTTTATGGATCTGCTCTTCCGTACAGGCACTTTCCAGGATTTTGACCCCACAGTTGACTCTCGACGGCCATTTTCCTCCTCACACCACTGGGTTACTGCAGTGGGATACATGTTGACGGTCTCTGGCTTGTAGTCTTGGTAACTTGCTTGCAGAAAAGAGGGATTATGGAGGATCTCTGCTTGTAGTGCTACCTCTAAATCGGTCTCTGGTGATTATGGGTCCTCCGCTGTGCCACAACTCTCTAAAACTGCTCAGTCCCAACTGACCCGCTTGGTCATACATTAATGACCAGTTGCACCTGTGGATGTAAAGGTTAGCAGGCTACCATTCTAAGAATGCACAGGAACGAGGCCAGAAAAAGCTTGGCATTGAATCTTAACTGGGTATTAGCATCTCTAAATAAACCCAACCAGTTCAGACAAATTAAAAGGGGTCCTGGTGTACACCTTGCGCATACAACCCAAACAGCAGGCAGATGTATGCTTTCCTAGAGTACCACTGGAGGTGGTGAAAGTACCTGGCACCTAGTAATTATTGTTGCCTAGCTTCCTGTGAGGCCCTTCTTTGGGTGGTGCATTGTCCCTTTAGGAGTATTAATCAACAAAGGTTAAGGTATGAACTAAGAGCAGTCTCTGTTTTGGCTAACCATGTGTGGTGGGCGGTTAGGGCATGTAGTTCATTTCCACTCCTACATCTCTCACTGACAGCAAGAAAGAGGCAGGGGGAGCTATGAGGGAAGAGTGAGCATACACAGAGATGTTGAGTCTAGCACTGCTCACTGCCTGGGATGAGAGAGCCAGAACAGTCATACCATAGCTGCCCAGTTCTGCCTATCTGCTAGTTTGGGGGTCCACAGCAGCAACATGTCTTAGCAAGGATCTGTACATTGTCTACAGTTCAACTTTCTGCAATTAGACAGTGAACTGTCTTCTTTTTCCCAAGATGACGCTGACTTGTAAAAGGTTAGACTCAAATGAATAGTTAAGCCTCCTTTCTCTTAAAAATAATGATTATAACCAACATGGCAGAAATGTCTAATTTATCTGATGAACGGAAGAAGACTGGGCAGTGCATAACTGCTGCCAATGAAACATCTAATGATACAGAGCAACTGAATAGTGCACTTGCAAAACTAGTAAAAGCTTTTGAAAGCAATCAGAGACTGTCAGAAATATACTCTTCTACCCTATCAAGTATCAACACAGAAGAGTCTCTGCAAGAGTTAAACTTTAGTGTTCTGCCAAAAGGAAAATACATCACATTCTTGGATGGCAAGTCGTGAGTAGTCGCATTAAGGCATGAGTCGTGGAGGCCTAGGCTGAAACACATGCCTCACAGGCCAAGCACATACCCAAGCATGGGACACACAAGCCACATAGGCCATGGCACAGGCCCAGGCAAGCACAGGCATAGGGACAGGCAATGCAGGTTAAACTGGAAGAAAAGTTGGAAGCTGCAGCTATGGCTAAACTAAGAGTGTAAGAAGAAGCTGTTACTGGACGTGAATAAGACAATGTCACTCTTGCAAATGCAGAAGGTTCCATTGAGTGTACTAAGAACTATGTCTTAAGCAGAGCAGCAGAATCTCAGTGCACCCAATGACACTGTCAGGGCAGTATTTGGGCTAGGGGAGATTTTTGCTAATTGGAAACATTTGCAAAAGAAGACGATGTTTGCTAAAAGGGGGGATTTGTAGGAGGAAGATGATTTGTGCTGTGGGGGAAAGGATTAGTGCTGGGGATATTTGTGTTGGGAGAGGGTAGAGGATTTTGTGTGGGAGGGGAGATTTTAGGGGGAAGAGTAATTATGCCAGGAGGAGTGATTTGCGGAGACAAATTTATGCTGGAAGGGGGCATTTGAGAGGGTACAAAGATTGGAGCTGTGATGAGGGAAAGAAGGTTCCCAATCACCCATAAGGTTTTGTTTTTTTTTTCTTTCTACTAAAAAAGATGAAAATAGACGACCAGAGCACATGTGTTACTGACAACCTGAAATATGACAGAGACTCCCATTAGAATCTTAGAGAATTTATGTTTAAACAATATGTAAATGTTAACACCACCCATAACAATTAATCTACCTAGCTTTGCAATTAAAATTGTCAAAAAAGCATGACAAAATATGAGCAAAACTAGGATTAAAAAAGACCTGGGGAACCTTGAGAAAAAGTAGATAAACAAGCTCTGCGTGCCATGGCAAATGGATGTCATGATCAGGTTTCACCTAACAGTGTTAATGGCTTAAAGAGGAATGAGCAAACAGAACCTGGGCCTAGTCACTCCTACATCACACACATGTACCACAGTCCTTGTACCGATAAAATATTTCCAACTACTGAGCCACAAGTGACATTCTCACAGACACACATAAACCTCAGGACAAAAGATCATTTTTAAAAAAAAAATAATTTTCTTATATATTTGCTTTTCTGCACACAAAAATATGTAAATTTTTGTGGCTGAGCCTACCTTAAAGAATCATTTAATTAAAACCAGCAACTGTTGAGACAATGAATGCTTTGCCACTGTGCACTGTGTTCCATAAAACATAGAAAGAGAGGATGAGAAGAGAAAGAGAGAGATGGGGGAGAAAGGAAGAAGAGGGGGAAGAGAGAGTGCGAGAAGGGGAGCAGAGGGAATGAATGAGGGAAGGTAGGAAGGGGAAAGGTGGGGAGAGAAGGGGGAGAAAGGGAGAAGGTCTCCTTTCCACATCTGGTCGCCAAGTTAAAGTGTGGGTTTGTGGGGGGAATGTAAATCCCACGTCAATGATGTCATCCAGCAATGTACATCAGACCCAATAATCAATGACCACTACCCAACTATGCTACTGCACTATGCACTATTTCTGTCACTACTCCCCATCTCAAGTGAAAGATCCCAGGCTGGTGTTTGTAAACAAACTATCCTGGATCCTAGGCAATGTTATTGATAAAATATCTGGCCGGTTTGGGCAACACTAAAAATACAAAATGCTTTAAATACCATGCCTTTTAGAAACACGTGACGTTACAAAGCAAAACGATTTAACCCTTTAAAATGAGTGGTTTGTTTACAAACAGCGGCCAGGGATCTGTCACTTACCAGCAGTAGCACTACCAGTGCTAAAAGACGGATCACCAGCTAGCTAGTATTTGTTAACAAGCTGGCCAGGGATCCTAGGGAATGGTATTGATTAAATATCTGGTCGGGTTTGCATGAAAAAAGATGCTGACGGGGGTCTGTCTTTTTGTGCTGGTATTGTTGCTGCTGCATAAGTGGCAGATACTGTTTGTAAATAAACCACTCACTTAAAGGGTTAAATTATTTTGCTTTGTAACTATTTAGCTTTAAGGCATTCCTCCAAGAATGTTATATAAAGAATGTGTATTTTTAGTGTTCCCTTTAAGCTTTTATTAAATTCCGCGGCCCCTAGAGATGTAGTCCAGGGTCATTCCATCATTGTGCTGTGTGTATGGATTTGTTCAGGTATTGCCCAGTACCATGCCTTGTTTTGTATGGCATTGTATCCTTCTCAGTATTTGTTCTTGTCCTGTGTGGACACAGCACTGTGATGCTTCTCTTCTCTATTATGCAAGATGTAAATACCATATTATACTACTGATGAGAGGTTATGCTGCACTTTATATACCCTCAGCCAACGGAGAATTCCTGTATTATACAAACCCTAGATGGAGACATAACTAGATGTGATAACCAAGGCCTGCCCCAAATAATGTCCTTTGCAGAACCTCCTGCTTCCAGATGGCTAACCATGTGCAGTAATCTGCCATAGAGTAGAATGCAGGGCTGTGTCTTGGGAGTGAACTTACTCTAGCGATGGGCCCTCTTGTTGCTGTGACAAATCACTGTGTATGTTTTAAATAATGTAAATTAGTAAATTAAGTAAATTACAAATTACTGCAAATATAAAGCTGCAGCTTTAGGGAGGTTGTGATTGACAAATCTGACCATGTCTGCATCCCAGTACTGTAGTATAAAATGTAAATGTGTGAACGTACACTTATTCTTTAAAGTATATCTAATGTAAATCTAATCAATTAAATCTAATATAAGCTTTAACATGTTAATGTAATTTCAAAAGTGATTTTTAATTATTCAAATCTGCAGCATTCATTAGAAAATACCTGGTGGTACTGCCAAGGGGATCAATTAGACATGTGCGATTCATTATGTTACAAATCAAAATTTGGACAAAATTTTCGTTATATGGAGATTTGGATGTACTGTATCAAAATTTCCAAGTGACAATAGTAACGAATTTCAGTGAATTTTAAATAAATTATACCAAAGCAAATGTTTTGAATTTGAAAATGAATTCAAATTTGAAATGGAAAAATATTGCAATAAATAAAATAAGGTATACAAATGAAATAAGATGATGATTCCGACTTGGGCTGCTTTATAGAACAGAATAAAACAACATAATATAGAAAATAAAAGAATAGAATAAAACCGGACAGAAGAGAATAGAAAATATAGGAATACAAAAGAATAGACTAATAAAAAAGGAACAGCATTAGAATCAAATAATGCAGAATAAAATAGAATAGTAAAGAATAGAACAGAGTAGAATCAAAAAGAACAGAATAGAAGAATAGAAAAAAAATAGAATAAACTAGAACAAATATAGCGGTCTTCCAAAATTCAAATTACAAATTCGAATTTTGAATCAATTTGAAAATAACAAATATTTGAAACAAATCAGAATATACGAAATTAATTCTGAAAATAACTCATTCTAACATACCAAATATGATGAAACCAAATTATTAACTTAGCAAACTAATTCAAAACCAAACAAATTTTTCCTTTGAGCACATGTCTAGGATCCTTGTGCAGGCACTTTCTGTTATGGCGGGACAGCTGTCCCAACTGTGCTCCTGTGCTGTTAACCCTGTCACATAAGCCCTAGAGAAGAGTACAAGTGGCCACGATGACCCTCATTGCACAGGCTTGGTCCCGCATTGTCACTGTCAATAAATTTGTACAAAGCAATGATGTGCAGCCAGTGCTGAAGCTGAAGCAACAGATATAAAGTGGGTGAAAGAGGATGGAAAAGATCAGCAATAATGAGATACACAAAATGTGAAAATAGTATTTTATAATGCACAGTGCCTTAGCAAATGTGATCCAGGTAGGATTTCCATCTACTTTAAATGTAGTATTTAATTTTATTTAATTAAAGTTACATTTTAGAGCTGATATTGTTTCTAGTGTACTGTATTTTTGTGTTGAGAGCCCACCACATAAGAGTTTCATCTGGTACTTATAAAATGCCAGTCAGACACACACAGAATTTGATCCAAATATAACCAATGTAAAGTAATTACATACCAAACCTCATCAAAAATTATATTTTTGTTTTGGGAGTGTAACAGGGTGTTAAATCCCTATAGTATACATCTGAAAGGATGCCTGTTGTAGTTTCTGTAGGCACCACTGGATATCACTGTTTACCCTGGTTTTGCCCCCGTGCAATTATGTGGGATTTTATATATGGGAAGTCCTGCACAGGGGTTGCTGAGTAGTCTTTGTTTTTTAACCATACTCCCTATGAGGAGATAAAAGGACCTGGAGGGAGGAGTCAAGGGCTTTTTGGACAAGAGATAGGGAAGGGGGCAAGATCAGCTAGAGATCTGCGTTCTAACACAATTTTCCCGCTTGAAGCAAAGGTGTGAGACCTCCTAGGATGGAACTGAAATGAAACAGCAGTGATGCAACTTTGGTCACCTGTATTTATGAGAACTGTGATATGTTAGTACCAGGGGCGCACTGACCATTTGGAAACTCAGGCACTGCCTGAGGGCCCGGGTCAGTAGGGGGCCCCATGAGATGCCCCTGGTACCTTTTTCATAGGCTTTTTTGAGTTTGGGCAAGGACACAGGGGCCCCATGATCCCCTATTGCCCGGGGGCCCCATGATTTGTCAGTCCGCCCCTGGTTAGTACCACCACCTTTCCCCTCTTGCACTGTGAAGATTAACATTAATGAAAATTATTTAAAAGCTTTTCTGTGCTATTACCATATCTTTGGATTTATTTACCGTATGTTTGGATAAAAAACTATTTGGACTTTCATGTGTTGTTGCTAAGAAGCTCAGTAAATGCCTAGGAAAAATGAAAAGGGGACTGTCTCTTTTTCCACTATATGCAAAATAGCCTAAAACTGGGGAAATGGGTTCTGGTCAGGAACGAGTGGTGGCCTAGTGGAAGAGGGCCCATCTGCTTAGCTATGATAGGAAATGTTCTCTTGGGAGCACTCAACCTAGACCCCATGTCTCCTGGGCCTTGAAGGTTTGGTGGGACTCCCTGCAGACTAGACCTGGAACTACTGCAGACAGAAAGGTGTCTCATAAATATGTGAACAAGTGTTTCCTAATATGGCTGAGGGCCTATTTTAGTAAGGAGCCTGAACAATATAGTAAACTGGAGGGACGGTTAGGCCTTGTTTACATCATGGTGGTGTAGAGACATCAGTTCTTCTGTACGGGTTCTGCAAAGGCACAACAAAATCAATTGTTCTCTATGTGTCCTGTTCACACCACAACACTAGTATCACCTGCAGATTTTGTATAAAATTTATTGAAGCGCACATGAAAACTGATGTCTCTGCAAGTGAAACCTGTGCGTCAGCTTCCATCAGTTTTTCTGCATGTATGGTGTGAACGAGGCCTTACTGAAGTCTAGGTCCTGCCATAACTGATAAATGTAGGCCTAACACCCTGCCACAAAGGACATGTGATGTACCACTCACTGTTAAGCTTTTTCCTCACAACTAGAATATAAAGTAAAAACAGGACACTCCCTGGTGGCTCATTTGCTATGCAGAATAAATTGGAAGATGTGACAACGTTTATGAAAGGATGGCTAGAGCTATTGTGGTCAAGCCATGCTGCTGATTTCTCAAGGTAATTTAAAAAGCAAAAGGCCGATTCATCACTCCTAACAGATCTCTTTTTTGACCCCTAGAAGAGTAAAAAAAAAAAAAAAAAAACAATATTTGGTACTATATTTCAAGGAAGCAAAGCTTGCACAGTGACTACTTTACAGTATAATTAGTGATTCTATTGGTCTATACCGCAATCACCCTGCAGAGGGCAGTGCAATATTATAATTGACACTTCTACTGGCAGGGTAGGACCTAAGAGACTTCTATTCACTTTCTAAGATAACAGACTGTGTGACATACTGTACATTATACAGAAAAGTGTGTGTGTGTTCATACCTCCAAGCATACTAACGATTATCACAGATGTTTGTTTTATTTCCCTGAGTTCATTTTGTCTCTATTCATATATTACTGGGGTCTTGTTAGCAGGTCTGCCATTGACAATAAGAAACTGTAACAAATTTGTTGGGGGTGGGAAACGGAGAAAAATAGCTTGTTAAGTGAACTGAAAACATGATGTCCCTTTGTCTACTTTTTATTTGGACAGCACATCCCATTTATAAAGCTTTTTGTATCAACTGCACCACTCAAGACTAAGGTGTCACACCATTAACCATAAAATGACATTGTTAGCACAAGATTTTTATTTACCATAATATAGAAGTGTACGAGAGTTACCATAAAGCATAAATGAAGTGTATGATTATTTTCTCCACAGCTGTATATAGTATAGCAGCCATGCTTAACCAGGGTTCCTCCAGAGGTTTCTAGGGGTTCCTTGAGCAAAGAGTAATTTATAATAAACTACTATCTATCAGCCCTCAATAGCGATGGAATCTACAGATCTTTGGGGGGGGGGGGGTTATTTACTAAAACTGGAGAGCGCAAAACCTGGTGTAACCATGCACAAAAACCAATCAGCTTCCAGGTTTCTTTGCCAAAGCTTAACCCCTTGGCGGCAATGGTATGCAAATATGCGGCCTCTCGTCGTCAAAGCCCAGCTGTGTACCCAATGTAAACCCAATATAAACAAACATGAGCCTAGACCACGCAACCTTGCGTGCTCTCAGCACATTTACCAGGTCCCAATCACTACTTGCTACGTGACAGCCAATCATGGCGGTTACATGACCGTAAACCCCACCCACCTCCTGGTGTCACAAAGCCCCTAAAGGGCTGTGAGGTGTCTGCGCCAAGGGGTTAATTGAACAAGGTGAAGTTAGATGTTAATTGGCTACCATGCAGAGGTGTACCAGATTCTGTGCGCACCAGTTTTAGTAAATCTCCCCCTATGTCTGCCAAAGATCTCATTATTGGCGCAGAATCTCTTTCGTTAACATAATAAAGTAGAATAAATATCTACTGCTTTGCAGTTCTCTCCAGATTGGGGAATCCTCAGAAAAAGTGTAAGGCAGTGTTTTTTAGGTATACAGTTAGGTCCATATATATTTGGACACAGGCACAATTTTCATACTTTTGGCTCTGTATGCCAACAGAATAAATTAAAACTAAACAACCGAAATGAATTTGAAGTGCAGACTTTCAGCTTTAATTCAAGGGGTTGAACATAAATATCAAGTACAAATTTTAGGAACTTCAACCATTTTTATACACAATCCCTCCATTTTCAGGGGCTCAAATGTAATTGGACAAATTAATATAATCATAAATAAAATGTTCATTTTTAATATTTTGTTGAGAATCCTTTACTGGCAATGACTGCATGAAGTCTGGAACCCATGGACATTACCAAAGACTGGGTTTCATCCTGATGCTTTGCCAGGCTCTAACTACAGCTGGCTTCAGTTGTTTTTTGTTTGTGGGTCTTTCTGTCTTTAGTTTTGCCTTCAGCAAGTGAAATGCATGCTCAGTTGGGTTGAGATCAGGTTATTGACTCGGCCATTGCAGAATATTCCACTTCTTTTCCTTCAAAAGCTCCTGGGTTGCTTTTGCAGTGTGTTTTGGATCATTGTCCATCTCTAATGTGAAGTCGTGGAAGACCGGTCTTTGAAAACGCCCTATGGGAGGGGTGAAACGCGTCGACGCATTTCCGGTCTGCCGTCCTTATGATCTACGACACTTCTGGTGAGTGGAATGCACGCCGCGGTGCTGCGTTCCAGGGGCCATCTTGTGGATGAGGCAATAGTCCTAATGTAATCTGCTGCTGACTGGGGGATTTCTAATCCAGTATCCTGAGGTCTTTGGAAATATGTCTATGGAGGCAATAAAACATGCTGTTTTTTATCTTACTTAATGTGAGTGGCCTGGTGTTTGTGAATATACATTAACTGGGTGTTGCAGTATCACGCTATGTGTTTTTGTTTTGTTTTTCCTGCATTACCTTGAGTTTTTCTGGCACGAGGAGTCTGATGGTGGTGGAAGCTAGAGGAAAAATTCTCTTGTGGCAAAAGTTGGAGGTCTTAATATAAAGGGTCTAGGATCCCTAAAAATTACCTAAAAGGCGTTTATCTCACCAGAATCTGGTGAGTGCGGTATATTTTTTTTTTTTTTGAGCACTAATTTTTGGTGGAAGCAAATCTTTGTGGAGAAAGGACTTTTTTTGTTTTTTCTATTATCATATTTTGCATTTGTGATCAATAATTTTTTCACATATTTCTTCATTTATTTTGGAGTGGCACTATGATTATTATTATATAATTCTATATGTATTTTTCTGTATGTTGATTTGGTACAATGTGAATTATTTGCGCTGTTTTTGATATTTATATATTTTTTGGTGTCATGACACTTGGGTACAGCAGCATTTAATTTTTAATTTAAATTTTTATTATTTTTTAATTAATTTTTTTTGTATATTCATTTCCTTGGCACTGGTGATTTGTGGCTATATATATACTTTTCCAGAACTGGCCTAGCTTTTTTAGATGTTTTTTGGCAAAGTCTAATCTGGTTTTTCTATTCTGCAGGCTTATGAATGGTCAAGTCTTCTCTTGATTGTAGACTTTGACAATGATACGCCCACTCCTGGAGAGTGTCCTTCACTTGTCTGATGTTGTGAATGGGTTTTTCTTTACCATAGAGAGGATCCTGCGATCATCCATCACTGTTGTCTTACGTGGGGTCCATGCCTTTTTATGTTCCTGAGATCACCAGTGCATTCTTCTTTCCTCAGAATGTACCAAACTGTTGATTTGGCCACTCCTAATATTGCTGCTATCTCTCTGATGGATTTGTTTCATTTTTGAAGCTTTACAATGGCCTGTTTCACTTGCATAGACAGCTCCTTTGAACACATGATGTAGGTTCACAGCATTAGATTCCAAAAACGACACTTAGAATCATCTCCAGACCTTTTACCTGCTTAATTGATGAAGAAATAATGAAGTAGTAGCCCACACCTGGCCATGAAACAGCTTTTGATTCAATTGTCCAATTACTTTTGGCCCCTTGAAAAAGGGAGGATGGCTACTCTTAAGAGCTGCAATTCCTAAACCCTTCCTCCAATTTGGATGTACATACCCTCAAATTAAACCTGAGAGTGTGCACTTTCAGTCCATATCCATTGTATAACTATAGCTTGAAGATGTTTTGGTAAAATTGTGCCTGTGTCCATATAGATATATATATATATATATATATATATATATATATATATATATATATATGGACCTAACTGTACATGTTTTTTTACTGATCTAAATGCAGCCTATTGTTTTGAATGTGAAAAAAAAAAATAGAAATCTGAGTTTGAGGTCAGTATTTTACACATGTATACGCATATGCATGCAAATGCATGCTTACACACATAAAATGTTAATTGGAAGAGGTTAAAATTCCTTTCTGAGAGCTAGAATGTATGTTACTCCTGTACACATGTACACACAAATAAGCCAAAATAAATGCAAGAAAT